CCCTGATAGTCTCTCCTATACTCCATATTAGCACAAAACACTCAGATCCCTCAAGGGACAACTTTTCTCACCCATTCTTGTCTCTTCAGCGTCCTTTGTTTCCTCGTGAGGTTGAATATTCTTGATAGTCTTTTTTGTCACATCTGTTATTTTCATCTTCTATGTCTATGTATTTTATTTGTCCCTGTTTTATTGTACCAAAATGTTGCACCTGGGGGCCACATTACAACTCAGTTGATGATGTTTGTATCCATAGATCCCTTGCTTTGATTCAGCACTACATAAATCTGGTGTGGACGTTTTTACCTATAATCTCGGCATTCCGATGAGGGAAACAGGACAATCATTAATGCCATACAATGAGGTTAAAGTCAGCCGTGGGTACATAAGACCCTGTCTAGCAAAAAAAGTGAATTAACAATCAGAAAACTATACTACAAGTAAATCTCAAGCTTTTTGTTACATCCAGTTCTAAGGAGACGTTTTTATGTTCTCTCAGACATAGCAGCACTCAATCCTAGTATTTTATTCATCCTTGTATCCTGTCATGCACAGTATAATGCATCGTATTTCTTTCCTATCAATTCATGTGTACTTGTTTTCCCTGGACAGAGAGGATGTGATGAACTAACCCTGTGAACCAGTCAGACTTCCATTCAGGGTTGTGGGCTTAACAACACCATACTCCCTACAGAAATCATTCTCAGCAAGAAAAGGTACTGCCCCTGCTGTTGGAATGAGCTCCTTGTGATGAACTTCCCTCAGATGATTTGTGTCCTCAGTAGATGCCATCCCATCTGCCTTCTCTGATGACACATTCTTCATGTTCAACTACAGCAGTAGAAACACATCCTTAGTGAGAAAGGAACTCTTCAGGAACTTGATTTCATGTGTATCCCCCAATCATGATAGAATCACCTAGGTGGTACTGATTTTGAATGCATGAAGGGGTCATGGAAAGCAGCTAAGACTTGGCATTGGGAGGGATCAGGAGAGGCCATTGGTGAAGGTATAGCGTCAGTGGCAGTTGAACAACAAGAACTGAAGGGGCCATGCAAAGTTTAGGCTTACCACAATGAGGCATACCTTGTCTTTTGGTGAAAGTGGAGTCCAGTTGCAAAAGACCCCAGCATTTTGGAGATGCCTGTACCATGGAGTGACCACTAACAATAGCAGCAGCAGTGGAGTGGAGCCAACTGGAGCCTACAAGACAAGCTGTACGTGTTTCAGAGAGCGGAGCCAGAGAAGTGACCCAAGTCCTTTGGAGGAGTCCAGAAGATCAAGTGTGAATCCCAGTTGTTGGACAGATGGAATTTGGCTTTGCTTTGATTTTATTGTGACTGTGCCCTGATTTTCCCTCTTGAAGTGAGAAAGTATTTTTTCTGGAGCCTAAGGTTGAGAGAATTTTTAAAAGACTGGATTTTAAAAAAGACTGGCTATTTTTAAAGAGACTGAAAATTTAATATATTTAAATTTGTAAAGAGTAGGATTTTTAAAGGTTAATTATGTTTTAATGTGGGATATTTGGGAATAATAAGAAAGAGGTGGTTATGGCTTCATGGTGATATCTGTGTGTTGAAATGTCAATGAGTGAGCTGTACTGGATGTTTTGTGTGACAACTTGTCACAAGCTAGTACCATCAAAAAGGAAGGAGCCTCAGTTGAGGAAATGACTCTATGATATTCAGCTGCAAGGCATTTTCTCAATTAGTGATCAATGGGGGAGGCAAATCATTATGGGTGGTGCCGTCCCTGGTCTAGTGGTCCTGTGTTCTATAAGAAAATAGGCTGAGCAAGCCATGGAAAGAGAACCAGTAAGGAGCTCCCCTCCGTGGCCTCTGCATCAGCTATTGCTCCCACGTTCCATACCTGCTTGAGTTCCTATTCTGATTTCCTCCAATGATGGACTATCATCCGGAAATTTAAGCCACATAAACACTTTCTCCCCCAACTTATTTTTGGTTATGGTGTTTTGTTGCTGCAATAGAAACCCTAATGAAGACATACATGAACACTTGACATTGTAAAGTCACAGGATGCCCTGAGGTGATCACAGAGCCAGCCTCTGCCCTGATAGTGGAGTTAAAGATGTTCCCTGCAAGGAAGCAGGTGGAGAGTAGGTAAGTCTGTTTGAACACTGGCACAGCTAAGATCAAATGTGGAGAAGACAAGTAAGCTGATCCTCTGTAGGAGGACATGATATATGTGCTGCCTATGAATGCTTTTTCCTGAATGTCCGATCAGATCTTTGTTATTTCTAGAGCCTCCTAGATTCCACCACCCAGAGTTTTTGATGCAGCAGTGTAAGCTTTGAGTCTTGTTCTTTACCAGACTTCAAGGCCCACTCCCATACCCATATGTCATCCATACCTATGTAACAGGGTTTTGAAGTTGAAAGTCATGTAATCTTTTCCAAGGGACCACAATACCTGGCTGGATGGACACAGAACATGCCACATGGAGAATAGTGCTATTTGTTATTTGATTGTCATTACAGCAGCTCCACGAGAAAGCGATGCCAGGTACTCATTTCCTGAATGCTCTGGCTAGGGCAGCTTCAAGATTGTATTCATTCCTTACATAAATTGCGTTGCCCTCATGGATCCACAAGATGCTGAGAATCAATGAATATTAAGCCCTAAATAAGATGTCTTTGAGTCACTCAAACTTGTATAGACAGTGAGTGGTATACAGACATTAAACCAGCACTGATCTCAGCTAGAAGGTTTCTACCCCCCAGGAAGCATATCTCTGAGAAGGCAAGAAATGCTTGAAGGTTCTTCACAGAGAGAGGGGCATTGGATGATATTGGTAAGGGAAAGAAGGAAGAAAGGAAATCTGGACATGGTACCACACCTGTAATACCACCATAACAATGGTGACTAGGACAAAAGGCATGAATCTGGGAAGAGAGCTTCATGGGGGAATATCAGGGCAGTGAAAAGATAAGTGGAAACAGATATGTCATTATTTTGTTTTATATATGCAAGAATATAAAATATATATATAAATATTTCAGAGGACTTATCTTAACCTTAATTAATATGAAATCAAAACCTACAAATCTCTAGAAGATATGGTAAAGGCCATCCTAAAATAGGAGTTTTGAGCTCTAAATGCCTATCACAAAATCAGAGAGTGCTCAAACAAAAATGATTTGCTTTAAGGGCTGGGAAAATACTCAAAACACTAAATAAGAATAATGAAGTTCGCTCAGAAATAATGAAATATAAACAAAAAAACTGAGCCAGAAAAGTGTCTCAGTGAGTAAAGGAGCTTGCAATACAGAGTGAGACCAGAGTTTGATTCCAGAGCACAATGTTGAAAAGGGAATACATTCTCAACATTGTATTCTGAACTCCGGATGTAAGAAACCCGAACACCCGTGAATATATGGATGAATTAATGAATGAATAAATAAATAAATAAATAGGTTAATAAATAAATAGGATGCTGGAGAGATTACTAAGTGATTGAGGGCATCTGTGGGTCTTAGCGAGGACCAAAGTTCAGTGTCTATCTACCACTCAAGGTGGCTCACAATCTCCTATAACCTTAGTTATGGGGTTTTACATCCACTCTTCTGACCTCCCCAAGCACTGCTCGTGTGTTTTGCACAAACACACATTTCAACAAAGCACTCTGAAATGTGAAGTAAAATGAATAATTTTTTTAAAAACTTTGATAAATTTAGAAAAAATTGATCTGAACTGTCGAATTCTTTGAAAAGCTCAATAGCATAGAATGTAACAGAATTACCAAAACAAATAACAATGCATCCTAAAATAACAAGATTAGAGGTAAGGAGACATCATCTGGGCTTGGTGTTAACTGTCCTTAATCTCAGCACTCAGTACATAGAGATAGGCAGACATCTGGGAGTTTGTAGACAGCCTGATATGCACAACAAATTACAGGCCAACAAGAACTACATTATAGTGATATTTTACTTGTTTTAACAAATAAAGTTGTCTAAAAATCAGAAGGGTAAAGCTAAGCCACTAGAGGTCAGGGAGTTGTGACACATACCTTTATTCCCAGGATTTGGGAGACAGAGGCAGATGAATCTCTATGAGTTCTAGGCCATCTGGGATACACAATATCAATGCAGAAGCAAATCCAGGTGGTGGTGGCCCACACCTTTAATCCCAGTCCTAAGGAGTCACACACCTTTAACTCCAGCACTAGAGGGAATATAAAATGTGGTAGCCCAGCCTTAATAGAGTTACAACTTCTCTAAGTGGCTTGGCTGCTCTGCTTTTCTGGGTTTTGGGTTGAACCCCAATATCTGTCTCTGAGTTTTTATGATTTGTGTACAATCTGTTATGAAATTCTGTCTAAAAGTATTTCGTCATGGAGCAGACTGTCTAACAGAAGTACCTATACCCATAGCTGTGAGAACTACATTCCCATTTCCTCCCATTACTCTGTCTGAATTCTCTGTGCACATGTTCAGGTAAGCTGCATAGGCACTTTGTCATTCTATTTACGATGCTCTATATTTGGCCTGCAGTGACAGTCTGCATCTTCCTGAAGTATCTCCTGGTACAAGGAAAATGCTAGACTTTGAAGGAACTCCAGGATGGTATGCAGATGGACAGGATAAAACAGTGAGATAAAACACCGTGGGAGTCTCTGAGAGAGAACAGCCCTGCCTCAGCCATGTTCACCTGTGGTGGACAGTTAAGAGAGATATCAGAATTGTTTACTGATAGCACTTGGAGTGAATACGATGAGTACAGATGAGGTAGACATTAATGGAGTTGTATAAATATCATTTAGGTAAGAGTTGAAAACAGAGAGTCTACTACCTTGTCTTAACACAGCACTGGAAGAGTCAGTCTGGTGCCTGAGGAGGGCAGTCCCTTCTTATGCGGATGATAAAGTACAACCATGTCATGAGAAGTGTCAGCCTCTAAAAGCCACACCCTATGTTTCCTGTCCCTACAAACAGACATACTCAGTATCTCTGCCCATATCTTCAGTTGCAGCCTCTGAGAGCAGATGCCATGACCTTCACCTTCACATTCCTGCTCTGTCCGGGTGAGATGTGAAGATGAGGAGGGGATACTGTGGTCTAGCAATGACATTGCCTCCTCACAACCTATCATTGGGACACCAGGAAACACCAGGGTTTCAGGAGGTTCTGCAGGTGGGAGGACATGTTCAAGCTTCTGGGATAAACCCTTTACATGTAACTCTCTTCCAGGACTAACTCTGGGCCTCTGGATCCCGGGGCTGGCATGTGAGTGTTTATATCTCCCTTGGTCTGTGCTTTCCATTGTGACTAAGAGACTTTCCTGGGAAGTGGGAATGAAAACAGCACTTGTATGATGATTCTGGGGATGACTTGAGGGTTATGGAGTAGAGGCCTGAAAACTCTGTATAGATGCCTGTTACCTAGCTGCTCATTTCCTTACAGGGACCCTTTCTAAGCCTATCCTAAGGGTACAACCAGAATCTGTGGTCTCTAAGCATACTAATGTGACGTTGCTATGTGAGGGTGCCAGAGGAGCCAAGCAATATTATCTCTATAAATTGGGAAGCCCGTATTCATGGCCCATGAATTCCAAGATTCCACTGGAGCCTGGGAATAAGGCTGAATTCTCCATCTCAAAAGTTGAGTCACACCACGCAGGGCTATACCACTGTTACTATCGTACCCAGGTCGGATGGTCAAAGGACAGTGAATTCCAGGAACTGGTTGTGACAGGTGAGAGGACATTTATGATCACTAGCTCAAGGCTTGACTGTCAAGAAATATGTCTGCTCTCGGCAGCACCATCCCCCACTTCAAAGCCCTGGAGGATACTTGGGCCTGAGGATATTTAAATGATTTTTCCTTCCCTCCTAGGAATCTACAGTAAACCTAGACTATCAGTCCAGCCCAGCCCTGTAGTGACCCCAGGAGAGAATGTCACTCTCCAGTGTGTTTCAAAGCAGAAATATGACAGGTTTATTCTGACTAAGGAAGGACCAGAGAAGCTCTCCTGGATGCTGGACTCACAATATAATCACTCAACTCAACAGTTCCAAGCCTTGTTCTCTGTGGACCCTGTGACCATCAGCCAGAGGTGGATATTTAGATGCTATAGCTACCACAGGAGTGAACCACAAGTGTGGTCAGAACCTAGTGAACCCCTGGATCTCCTGTTCTCAGGTGAGGAATCTCCAGCTTTCCCTAGAATGATCTTGAAATGATACAGGCACTCAGGGAGATCTTAAAGGGTGGTGTATATGTGGAGTTATGAGGCTAGAGACCATTGGCACAGTGCACAGAAGACAGAGGACATAAGATACCAAATCCAAGCTGACAATGATAGCAAACTCTAGGATGTCCTTGGGGGAGATGAGTCTTCATGGGACTTTCTGTTCCTCTGAATCAGTTAAGTGCCATCTCCAAGTGGGATATTTGCTCTGACACACTCAGACAGACTTACTTCTGTCTTTCCTGTTTCCTTGCAGGGACCCTCCAAAAATCCACCATCAAGTCAGAATCAGGCTCTATAATTGCTTCAGGAAGTCCAAACACCATCTGGTGTCAGGGAACGCTGGATGTAGAGCTATATGTTCTCCATAAAGAGGGAAGTCAAAAACCCTGGATCATGAAGACTCCAGAGGAGTCTGGGAACAAGGCTAAGTTCTCTATCCCTTCTGTGACACAACAACATGGGGGGCAATATCGCTGCTACTGTTACAGCTCAGCTGGCTGGTTAGAGCACAGTGATACCCTGGAACTGGTGGTGACAGGTGAGGGGACAGTTAGCAACTCAGCCCCAGGCTCTGCTCTAGGATTATTCCCTTACCACAGCATAGCCCTGGAGAACGTTTTGGCTGTGTGAAATGTATTAAGCTTTCTCCTTCTCTCCAAGGAATCCACTACTATAAACCCAGCCTGTCAGTCCTACCCAGCCCTGTGGTGACCTCAGGAAGGAACATGACTCTCCAGTGTATCTCCTGGGTGAGATATGAAAAGTTCATTCTTACCAAGGAAAATGAGAAGTTTACCAGCTCCCTGAATGCACAGTACATATATCCTACTGGGAACTACCAAGTCCTGTTTTCTATGGAAAACATGACTCCAGACCATGCAGGGACATTCAGATGTTATGGTTACTACAGGAATACTCCACACTTGTGGTCAGTACCCAGTGAACCCCTGGAAATACACATCTTAGGTGAGTCAACCCTATCATTGACCAATTGTTTTCTGAGACAATAAACTCTTTTCCACAGTCCACTGCCTGTGGGGAGTTGCAGACACATAATTACTACCTGGAGAGCCTTGTTCTGAGTCATTGTCCCACATTTATGGAGATGTAATGACATGTGTATGGCAGGAAGGGAGGTGATAGGCATTAGGTAAAAACCAACTCCTCAGTCCCTAGCCTGTCAGTTTCCCTCTCAGCTGACAATACACCCCGTTGTGTTGGTCAGAATGGACACTTACACTCTGTCCAAGAAAGGATCAGCCCTCTAACCCTTACCAATAAAATCAAAATTTCACTATTGGCAGTTCTGGGCTGAATTCTCCATGAGTGTTGTGACCTCTAGTTTTGAGGGCACCTACAGGTTCTCTGGTTCTCAAGATGCATTTCGTGACCTAGTATATCATATCAGCATCCCTGTGGGCACAGTCCCAAGTGAGGTGACCCTTATTTCTCGGGGTGACTTACAATCCACACTCTAGGGGAGCTGTTGATTTGGTGGGATTAAGATGGCAATAGGAAGGATTAATCAGAAGGCAATTTAGTGGCAGAGAAGGGGATGCCAGCAGTAGTCCCTCAAGTAATATCCACTTCATACTCTATTGCAGTCTAGTTTTGAGTAGAAAGCATATAAGGATCTTGGGAAGCCTATAGGACAGAAGTAGGACAGTGAACAAAGTGAGAGTCTACTGTGCTAGCATATAACCTTTACCTATTATTATTCTGTTTCCTAGGACCTATTGGAACATCCACCATGCCACCCTTGAGGCCAGTGTCAACTGCTAGTAAGTATCAGGTATCTCTGCATAGGGAGTATGCTGCAGCCCTAGGATTTCCCACAGCTCTTTGTCCACTGAAGTTCTCATTTGAGTGTCACTTCACCTTGTGAGTGTGAGCAGCAAACTGAGATCCCAACAGAGTCTCCAGAAGCACAGGGTTTAGTTTGGACCACAGAAGATGTCATCCAGAAAAAAATGCTCTGTCTTGGCCTGAAAGATGGGGCATATAGGTAGGGTAGAGAGTAGGGATCCCAGATACTCACCTCCCCATACTTCTGCTAAGGTCATGAGAACAAACCTCTTACCTGCATGGTATCAGACTATAGAGGGATAATAGAATTGGAATGTGGGGACCAATTGGGAAAAAGCTAATAATGGGCTTGATACAGCTAGTTTTGGAGGTGCTGACTTGAACAAGCACTTCCATTGCTGGTCTGGCTGCTGTTTCTCTGAGTATAAAGGGGTGAAGTCTGGCCCACATGATAAACTTCCTTTCTGAGCTGGCCTTAGCTGTGACCTCTCCTGAAAGTGGAAACCTCTAGAATCTGATTCTGCAGTAATGGTGACATGGACAAGGGTGGGGCATTGGTTCATGGAAGGGAATTCAGGATCATTCCCTCCAGCTCATGGGCCTCAACTTTGGTGGAGAGAAAAGGGTTGAAAGTCAGAGTCCCTGGGCTCAACTCCTAGTCCTGCCACTTATAGATAGTTTATCTGAGACAGATGAACTCTCTGGATAGGAAAGGGACAATCACATCTTCCATGTTTGTGAGGAGGGAAGATAATGAGTACAAAGACCCTGTATGATCCTGGTACACAGTAGGTGTCAGGTATGCAGTAACGGTTCCAACTCATGTCATTTGTGCCTCAGTACTGGAAATGTACCTGAAGATTCTTACTGGGATCTCCCTGGTTTGCCTCCTGTTCCTCTTCATCCTCATCTTTATCCTGCTCCTAAGAAATCATCAAGGCATATTCAAAATGTATGGTAAGTATGATGTTGGTGACCTGGGTCTCAGGTGTTGGTGGACCATCCAAGTAGATCAGACTACCAACTTCAGGGAAACCTCAACCTTGGGCAGGGTAGCTTAGAAACACTTGCAGATCTCAGTTTTAAAAACATATGGTCTCAGATTCTGTGCAATGTTGGGTGTTCTGTGTTCTTTTCCATTTCCTGGGATATTTTCCCACTTATCCATGCATTGCAAAGATCCCATCATTCCTTCCTTGCAAATGCCTGGGAAGAGGCTTCCTCTCCCAGCTGAATTCTTCTTTCTCTCACAGCCTCAAAAGAGACAGAATTGCAACTTGCTGCAGCAACTGCAGAGCTAGTAACCAGGGACATAGGCCCACAGAAGAGGAAATCCATGATCGGGGACCTGGACTCCCACCTTCTTGATACCTGTCCCTGTCAACTGACATCTCATTGTCTCTCCAGAGCCAACTTAGTTTCTGCAACCAATGAAGAAAGATTTCGTGAGAGAAAGAGGGTCGTGGGGAGGGAGATGTCTGAGGTCTCAGGATTATAGAAGTGATGGAGAGGTCATGAGGTCTTTGCTGTTAGGATCTAAACGTCATAATATAAACCTTGGGATATCAAAACACTACCTGGTTCTCTGTCCACACCTGGTGCAAGGCAGGAACCTAGGGGTCTGTGTTGTAAAAGGAGCAGCGGGCCACTTCCTACTGCCCGGCTAGCTTAACCCCTGAAATAACCACAAGGAAATTGTACTAATTAAACACTGCCTGGCCCATTAGGTCTAGCCTCTTATTGGATAACTCTCACATCTTGATTCAACCCATTTCTAATAATCTGTATCACCACTTGACTGTGGCTTACCAGCATGAGTCTAACCAGCATCTGTCTCAGAGAGGAGAGCCATGGCATCTACCACACTGCCCTCTTTCTCCCAGAATTCTGTTCTGTCTACCATGCCCAGCTAAGGGCTGCCCTATCGAAAGGCCAAGGCAGTTTTCTTTATTCAACCAATGAAAGCAACACATAGAAAGAAGGCCCTTCTACACCAGGTCTGAGTCATCCCTAGACAATCTCTGATCAGGTTACATTCTGTTTGTTGTATGATGACAGATGTTTCAATGGAGGACATGCAGTCTGAGGATGATGTGGACCTGGACAGTTGGGTAAGGTTCCTGTTCCCATCTGCATTGCTAAGAACTTAGGACCCAGTATGGATCAGGGAGGCTTCATTTTTTACCCCCTCCCAACCCTAAACTACATCCACAGCTGACTCTTTCCTCCCTTCTGCAAGTACCATTTGCCTTCTGTGTATCGTGTTGGAGAAGGTTGCTTGTTAGTTCACAGCCACCCAGATAGCTCAGACCCAAAATAATCACATAGAAACTGTATTAATTAAACCACTGTTTGGCCCATTAGCTCTAGTTTCTTATGGCTAACTCTTATATTAATTTAACCCATTTCTTTTAATCTGTATATTGTCATGTGGCTGTGGCTTACCGGGTAAAGTTCAAAGCATCTATCTCCAGCGGCTTCATGGCTTCTCTCTAACTCCATCCTTCTTTCCCACAGCATTCAGTTCCATCTTCCCTGCCTAACTAAGTTCTGCCCTGATATAGGTCCAAAACAGTTTCTTTATTTATTAATGGTAATCACAGCATACAGAGGAAAATCCTACATTACTGTGTGTTCTGGCATCACTGTTCCCTGGTTTTCCTGGGCCCCTGTGTCTCCTCCCTCCAGGTCCCTTACAGGCTTTTTGATATCCGTCTTCTGTTAACACACACTTGGAATCTCATAAAGACACATGACTAAGTGAGTCCCAATACTACCAATACCTCTACTCACTCAAACAGCTGTCAAAAGAAACACCATCCTGACCAGGCTCCCTGCAAACAGCAAACTCTCTAACCATCTTGAGACACCACAGTAATTGATGCAGAGAGCAGGCAGTGCAAAATGCAAAAAACCCAAAACAGATCCAGTGGGTAGAGTATGTGGCAACAGAGAGGGCCAGCATGAAAACACTAAAAGGTGTCTTCTGAGGGGAAAATCTAGATCAAGATGTCCACAGAGACATCTACAGGGCTGGCAACTACAGGCATGGGGTACAGCAGGACCAAAGTAACTTTGGCAGAAATGTGGAGTTTTGTTTTGTAGTTCATTTTATGTGTAGGGGTATTTTGCAAGTATGTCTGTGTACCACATGCCTTACTAGTGCCCACAGAGGCAAAAAGAAGGGGTCATATACCCTAGAATTAGAATTACAGATGATTGTAGCCCCCTTGAAGGTTCTAGAAACCAAATCTTGGTTATCTGCAATAGCAGCCATGGTCTTAACCACAGAGCAGCTCTCCAGTCCCCAGATACGTGTTTTCTTATGGACTGTGGGATTGAGACTAAGAGAGGAAGTGTTAAGAGTTTCATCATAAGAGTCCAGAAATGTGGGAAGGAAGCTTGGAAGAACCAAGCAGGGATATTATAATCTAAACAAGTCACTCCGGCCATGCTGTGAACAACGGGCCAGAGGAAATCCCTAGGGGAACAGGGAGATATTATCTTTACCTTACTGTTTCCATGCTACAGAGACCAGCTGAGGAACAACCGCAGGGAGAGATATATGCCCAGGTGAAACCCTCCAAGCTAAGGAGGGCAGGAGCTTCCTACCCTCGGTTATGTCAAGAGAATCCCTGGAAACAAAAGTTGGACAAGTAGAAGAGGGCAGAGAGACGGACAGTCAGGTTGGTCCTGTATCCCCTGGGCCCTATGGGTCCCCCATTATCAAGTATATACCTTTTTCACATTCTCTCCCACTCCAGGTTGCAAAATATGAAGGCCCGCAAGATGTGATCTATGTCCAGATGTGCGGGAGGACACTCAGACTAGGGATAGTTTCTTCTCATCATTTCTAGGCAGGGGAGAACCCTAAGGAGTCTGTGGTATATGCTACTCTGGAAGGCACTGGACCAAGTCCTGTTTTCAAGAACAAGGAGTAATGACCCTCTGACTGCCAGGTTGTGTAACAGTGACTGCAAGGGGATTCTGGAAAATTTTGGGAACCTGATTTCACTTTTAAGTAACATTTCACATTTTTGGAAATAAAACAGGAGATTTTTCAATATCAGGTGAAATGAGAAATAAAATAGAAGGAATGTTTTTTAATTGAGTGCTAATTTAATAACATTACTCAACAAGGCCATGAAATGAGAAAATTTACAGCCACGGTTTCACAGACCCATAATTCCAAACAATGGGAGGCTGAGACTAAAGGATTGACTTTGTTTTGTGGCCAGCCTGGGATACCTAGTGTGTTTCTTTTTTTAATTTATTTATTTTTTATTAAAAATTTCCACCTCCTTCCATCCTTCCACTTCCCTCCCCCCCCACTCCCCTTCCACCTCCCTTTCCAGTCTAAGTGGCAGTCAGGGTTCCCTACCCTTTAGGAAGTTCAAAGTCCTCCCTGTTTCCCCTAGGTCCAGGAAGGGGAGCATCCAAACAGACTAGGCTCCCACAAAGCCCGTCCATGCAGTAGAATCAAAACCAAGAGATGCCCTATCATACAACAAAAGTTATGCTCAACTATGTTCATAGCAGCATTATTTGTAATAGCCCGAATCTGGAAACAACCTAGATGCCCTTCAATGGAAGAATTGATGAAGAAAATATGGAATATATACATATTAGAGTACTACTCAGCAGTAAAAAACAATGACTTCTTGAATTTTGCATGGAAATGGATGGAAATAGAAAACACTATCCTGAGTGAGGTAAGTCAGACCCAAAAAGAGGAGCATGGGATGTACTCACTCATATTTGGTTTCTAGCCATAAATAAAGGACATTGAGCCTATAATTCGTGATCCTAGAGAAGCTAAATAAGAAGGAAAACCCAAAGAAAAACATATAGGCATCCTCCTGAATATTAACCTTCATCAGGCGATGAAAGGAGACAGAGACAGAGACCCACATTGGAGCACCGGACTGAGATCTCAAGGTCCAAATCAGGAGCAGAAGGAGAGAGAGCACGAGCAAGGAACTCAGGACCTCGAGGGGTGCACCCACACACTGAGACTTTGGGGATGTTCTATTGGGAACTCACCAAGGCCAGCTGGCCTGGGTCTGAAAAAGCCTGGGATAAAACCGGACTTGCTGAACATAGCAGACAATGAGGACTACTGAGAACTCAAGAACAATGGCAATGGGTTTTTGATCCTACTGCACGTACTGGCTTTGTGGGAGCCTAGGCAGTTTGGATGCTTACCTTACTAGACCTGGATGGAGGTGGGTGGTCCTTGGACTTCCCACAGGGCAGGGAACCCTGATTGCTCTTTGGGCTGACGAGGGAGGGGGACTTGATTGGGGGAAGGGGAGCGAAATGGGAGGCAGTGGCGGGGAAGAGACAGAAATCTTTAATAAATAAATAAATTTAAAAAAAGAAAGAAAGAAAAAGAAAGTAGAAATATTAAAAAGAAAGCTCTTTCATATCAATCTACATGTAGTCCATTAAAAGCTTTATTTAAAAATTCCAAAAGAAAGCCAGACAGTGATAATACAGTTTTAATCTCCAGCAGTCATAAGGCAGCATCAGAGAGATCTCTATGATTAAAGTCTAGTCTGGTCTTCAGAGCGAATCTCAAGATAGTCAATGCTACACAATGAAACCCTGTCTTGAAAAAAATCATAAATAAGTTTCAGAAATATTTTTTAAAGGACATAAGCAGCATAATGGTGGTTTGTTTGGCTTTAATTTTGCTTTTTTTATATTTTGATTTCAAAGACAATACGTAGCTTAAAACCTAAAAATTGCTTGGCCTGGTGGCACATTCCTGAGATTCCAGCTACCTTGGAGGCCTAGGCAGGAGGAAAGAAAGGAATAAATCCACCTTCACTGTAGAGTGATTTCAAGGCCATTCATTGAGATCCTGTCTCAAAATAAAAGGTTAAAGAAGGGCTGGAAATGTAGTTCATTAATAAAGCACTCATCTGACATTAAGAATCCTGAGTTCCATCTTTGGTACACTTGTTTCTGTGTTCTCAGTTTCTTCTTTTCAATGTTGAATATAAGTCAGACATGATGTAGTCCAAGCTGGGCTAAACTTGATATTGAATTGATTCTAAACTTGAACTTCTAATCATCCTGCTTCAACCCCTAGATGCCTACCTTAAAAACTATGCCACATTGCCCATCTCTGAGTCTTTTTCTACCCATCTGTTCTGTGTGCTTATACTTGTGCCAATGACAATGATGGTTGCGTTTGTGTGAATCTCATGTTTGAAGCAGGGTGTACTGAGGGCACCAAAAGAGTCATTTAGTTTCAGTATTGAGGATATTTTGTTCACTTTTTAAATGTTCTTGTTAGGTTTTTATCTTTATTTGTGTCTTTTGAGTTTCATTGTATATCACTGACTGACCTGGAACTTCTTAAAACAAACTGACCTCCTCAAAGCCATGTCCTTCAAAATGTTGGGATGAGAGGTATCAGTCAAAATATCCAATTGAGAAATTTCTAATTCTGTGAGTAATATCATCTGAATTTTCTTGTGTATTCTATTGAATTTCTACATTGCTTGGGTTCCCATATCCCCAGTCATACTGCTGATTAATGTGTTCACATTTCCTTCTTCTAGTATCTTCACTATGATGTGTTGTACATGTGTTTGCATTTGTACATGTTTGTACACATGTACATGTAGAGTCAAAGTCAATGCTGTATGCCTTTATAAATTGTTCTCCATCTTTTTAGAGGATGAGGCCGGACAGGCAGGGAACCAAGATCCAAGATACCACATTTGACTGATAGCCAATGTATTTGGGTGGGTGGTTTGTTCAGGGTGTTCCAGTGAACTTTCTGTCCTACTAATCTTAAATTTTGTTTCTTTGGTGTCTTTGATAACTTCTTGCTCTTACAAACATTCTGCCTCCTCTTTCCTGAACCCTGAAAGGAGAGATTTTATGGGCACACCTCATTTATAAGTGAGTTTTCCAAGGTTTCTCTGCAAATTGTCCTATTGTAGGTTTCTGTATAATTTCCCACATACTACAGCAGGAAGCTTCTCTTCTGATGACTGAAAAAGACATTGATCTATGAGTATGCCACAATGTCATTAGGAGTCATTTTAGCTACATTCCTTTAGCATAACATCAGTATTTGGTTTACTCCTTGGCCTTGTTGTATCTAGTCTCAGATTGTTGATGACCAGAGAAGTGTTGGGGATTGATTCCATCTCATGGAGTCAGCCTTATATCCAACCAGATATTGGTTGGTTACATTACAAGATTATTTCTACTACTGAATTATACTATCTTGCAGGCAACACACCAATGTAGATCAGAGGTTTTGTTGTCTTGGTATTTACCTTTCTCCTTTCATAGTGTCTAGGGTTTCTATTGTTGTAAAGAGATACCATGACCAAGGTTACTCTTATAAAGGAAAATATTCAATTGCGTATCTTACAGTTCAGAGTTTCAGTCCATTGACATGGTGAAACAAAGCAGTATGAAGGCAGACATGCTGCTGAAGAGGTACGTTAGAGTTCTATGTCTTGTGCAGGCAGCGAGAAGTTGTCTAAAACACTGGGTGTGACTTGAGCATATATAAGACCTCAAACCCCTCCTCCATAGTGACACTTTCTCCAACAAGACCATACTTATTTCAACAGACCCTCCTAAGAGTGCCAATCCCTTTGGGGCCATTTTTTCAAAACACCACATTCTACTTCCTGGCCCCCAAAGGATCCTAGCCATATCATAATGCACAAATTCATTCAGTCTAACTTTAAATGTCGCATAGTCTATAACAGTCTCAAATTTAATTAAAAGTCTGAAGTTCAAGATCTTTTCTGAGATTCCTGTGATCTGTTAACTGTAGTTGCTCATAAAGTCACTATCAAAGAGTAGATCACATAGTACTTACATACAATGGCACAGGATATACATTACCATTCCAAATATAGGGAAGAGAGTATAGTAAGGAAATACTGAACCAAAGCAAGACTGAAAACCAGTTCTACAACTCAAAACTCTACATCCCCATGTCTATGTCAAAATGCTCTTCAGATCTCTAACTCCTTTCAGCTTTGTTAACTGCAACATACTTCTTTCTCTTGTGCTGTTTTGATGTCCTGTTAGCAGCTCTCCTTAGCAGGAATCCCATGACTCTGGTATCTCCAGCATCTTGGGGTTTCCAAAACAATTCACTATTTTACATCACAGCTTAAAGCAATGAACTCTCCAGGCCTCCATTCAGAGACACAATTGATACATGTCTGTCATCTACAACATTCCTTAGTAGCAGAGGCAAATTCCATAACCCTTTACTTCTATCTTTAACTCCACATCCAGAACCACACAGCTAAAGCTGCCAAGTTCTGATACTTTCTGGGGCTGAAATATGGTTCCCTTGTTTAATTACACATTCACTAGCTTACTGTTTTCAATTGCTGCCATTATTGTCTGAGATTGGCTATCTTGAAACTGGATTTATAGAGCAGGATGGTATCAAATTTTGAAATCTGCCAGTCTCTGCCTGCCTCTGGAGTTATGGTATTAAAGGCAAGCACCACCACATCCTTTTTTTAAAATTTTCTTTTCACAAACTGGAAACTTAGCTAGGTGGAATCTTGCACTAATGTCACCACTCTCTTTATTACATTTCTTAATGTGCTCATTTTCTTGAATACAAGGCTTAGTTCCATTATAATTCCTAATGCTCCTTTTCTCCTCAAATTTTATATTTTATAATTTACTCTTCTTAACTTTCTCCTTTTCATTATAAATCATCATTGTAATTATCATTAATAACCACACAACAGAGCCTATACTAGGCTGCTTTGAGATTTCCTCTGACAACCGAATTAATCCAAAGCTCTTCACTTTAACCTTAGGCAGGCTCTCTGTTTAGGAGCAAAATGCATCTATGTTCTTCAGCAAAATATCATGAGACCAGTTTCCAAGCCACATACTGACATTCTTCTCATCTGAAACCTCTTGATCCGGGTACCCATAATTCTAACCACACTCAACACCATTATCTTCCATGTTCCTGCTAGTATGCCCCATTAAACAGCTCATAAAGTATTCCACTGCTTTTCTAACCCAAAATATCAAAGTCCATAATACT